ATCAAGCCCTGCATCAGGCTCCCTGCTCAATGGGGAGCCTGCTTCTCCCTCTGCCTCTGCTGTTCCCTCCATTTGTGCTCTCTGGCTCTCTCTCTCTGTCAAATAAATAAATAAAATCTTTAAAAAAAAAAGCTGGGAGCTTAAGTCCAGTGTGCTCTTCTTTCTCTCTCTCTCACATCAGGAATAAGGAAGAGCCGTCCAGTATAAAAGCTGAGCTCTACTCTAGAAAGTAAAAAAAAAAAAAAAAAAAAATCACCGCTCTAAAGGTTTCAACTGCCGCCGTGGGTAAGTAGTACTAACTCACTCGTCCTGTTATTTGCGATCCCTGAGGCAGTGGAGCACAATGCCGGGTTTCTCTTTGCAGCCTCATCTCCAGACAGCTGGAAGAGACCAGAAGGGAAACACTCAGGCGGCACACAGACTAGGTCCTGCTGGCGCAGAGTGCAGCCCTCAATGGGAGATCCCTCTGCAGGAGGCAAATGCCACTGAAATCAGATTTTGAAAGGTTAAAGAAAAAAGAGGTTATTTAAGAGAAATGAAGACGTTATGAGAGACATACTATTAAAGAGACAGAAGAGAGAAGTAAGGGCATGAGTTAGTGAGGTGTGAAAGCAAATGTTATTGCACCCTTCAAATCCACGTGTGAGCACACACACGCAAAGTCTGTGCACAAAAGCCTAAGTGGACAGAGGCCTTAACCCTCACTTTTCGAATGCATAGAGTGATTTAACAGATTTCAGTCTCATTATTCTTCACATTTTCAGGACTATCAAAATCACACCTGGCATGACAGGATCTGTAAATTCACACCTGAGTGAAGATGGCTGCGTTCAAACTCCATCTTGAAGACGTTAGTTTCTGAAAATATACAGGTTGGTTTAAGATTTAAAGGGAAAAAAGTAGGTTACCCTTGTACCCGGAAAGGTCTGCATGACTCAGAGTTTAATAATAGGATACATAAGATGTCACCCTTAGGTCACTGATTCTAGGGTGACTATAGTAGACTGCCATTTTAAGACATCACCATCTAGCAGCTGTTTTGTTCACAATCTGTAGAAGAAATATGTTGCTTGTCTCTATTAATACTCATTTGACAGGTGTGTACATTCCAACTCACATGCATCTGCCAATTGGGAGCCCTTTGAAGCAGGGTGTTGGAAAGCCACAACAGCTGTTACCTTTAGACAGTCCTTTGCATGCCCAATTCTCTCCTTTATCTAAAGAGCTAATTATTAATACTTCAAATTATAACAGATTTTTGTGTCTAAAACCCAGGTCACAAAGGAAAGATATCAACAGAGGATTTCTGAAATAAGCACAATTATCATTCTCTGGGACAAAGAAGGCAAACAATCTTTCCTCCTAGGAAGATGTGGTAGAGGCCAAACCAGCTAAGAAGGTCAACATTTACAAGAGCTCAGTGATCGGCAGGAGACTACAGACATCCCCAGCACTGTGTGCTTTTGCCAGAGGTCACTGGGAAATACTTCTAAAACGTATGTATCAACGATTTATGTACCCAGGCAATGTAAACTAATGTACCTTCCACTATGTCATAGTGCTCTAGAGCCTCTGAGTCAACACCTATGTAGTGCCAAAGATTATAATTTATCAGTTCACCCCTTCACCACGGCAAGTGAAAAGTGGATGGTACATACTGCACTGTAAAATCATTACGCTAAGGGGGGTTTCCTGCAGCCCCAGTTATGGTGATGACTGGAGGAGAATTATGTTTTGAAAAATAAAGCTATTATTTCTAAAGCACAGTAAGTAGGTATTTAAGTCATGGCCTAATCTGCTTTTTCTGTACTGAAATAATGCCCACATCTACTCATCGGCCTTTGTTACATATTCAGCCCACGGTGGCCCTCATGGAAATAAGACATCACCTAAAAATCAGTGTTCTTATCTTCCAAGCTCGTACCTTCCTTCAAAGAACTCAGCATCTCCTTTTAGAAGAACGTGAATTTAACCATGCAATATTCCAATTCACATTTAGTATGAATTTTTAATGTTTGTATAAAATGCTTAATAGAGGCTCTCCTTTATTTTCTTAAATGATGTTAAATAATGCGCTATTTGACACAAATTCAAAAAATAGTGAAAAATGCCACTAATAATTTTTTATTTAAAACACATCATTTTATTTTAAAAGGTCTTAAGAGCCCTGCAAACTCAGGCTTAACAGATTCTAGTGTGTCAAACCCAAGAAAGCTTATAAAATGAGAAAGCACTCACTGTGCCCTTTTGATCTGGCTCAGAAAGGCAACAAAACAACTCTGTAGTTTGATTTTGTTTTGATTTAGAACTGGTATGTCATTGCAGATCATGGCCTGCAACTCTATTTCACTGATGAGGAAATTAAGGCATAGAGAGGTTAAGTGACAAAGAAACACAGACCCTTTGAGTAGAAGGGACCTTAGAATTAACATAGACCAGAAGTATTACAACCGCAGGCCTGCATTATTCATCTAATTGAAAAAAAAATGCCATTTTCATATAAGCTAAAAGTCTGTCTAAAAAATCTTTAATTCTAAGTTTAATAGCAAACTTAGCAGACCTATTCTTTTTGTCTGCTATAAGACTTTGTCTTTCGTCTTAAACATGAAGAAGCTCAGAGTAGAATTTAGTGCCCAAGCAGAATACCACTTTCTGGCCATGGTTACTAGGGGTAATCTCATCCCCTCTGTCACTCAGCTCTTCCTAAATTCGATAACTATTATTTGAGCATCTGTTCTATATCCAACAGCATTGTAGGTGCTAAAGATACAGCAGTGAACAAATCATGTGAAAATTCCTGTCTTCAGGGAAATAAATTTTTTAAGTATAACAGAGTATGTTAACACTATGAAGAAAACAAAAAGCAGAAAAGGAGATGGGAGTGTGGAGTGGGGCTAAACTTTAAAAAGAGTGGTCAGTGAAGGCCATTTGGGTGACATTTGCATAGAGATCTGAAAGAGAGAAGGGGGGAGGAGTGAGCAAGCAAAGGGAATGGTATCTAGGGAGGATATTCCAGGCACAAGGAGCAACAAACCACAAAAGCCCTGAGGTAGAAGTATGCCTGGCCTGCATGACTCATATTTTTCTTGTTCATTATTTTAAATAAAGTATGTTTTTCTTTATTGAAAGTTCTGTCCAATACTTTGGAAGAAAATCAGGGACATTCATACAATCCTAATTACTACAGATAAGCTTCAGATGCACTTCAGAGGAGTTTTTAGTGGTTATGTATTACTATTACACTGCACACACCCTGCTGCCCTTCCACTCCCCACTCCTTCTCTTCTTCATTAGAGATCAAAATATTGACTTCCCAAAACTAACTTATGGAGGTTTAAAGACAAAATCTGCTTTGGGGAAAGGGCCTACCTTAAGGAAATCAAACTGCAATGCAGAATACCCCAACCCATAGGGACTCCCTCCCCTTGAACTTCTAAACCCACAGCCTTTAAGGATTGTGACTCTGTTTCCATCTCATTATATGCTACCTTGTCCTGTTCTTGTATACACATCTGCTCTCCTAGTGACTTCCTGGGAGCAGGGCCCATATTTTGGGAATGTCTGAATCCCACCACAGGGATCTGCACACGGATGGCACCGATATCTGTCTGCCGATGATGTCATAGAAACCACCACAAAGAGAGCAGACATTCCTCCCGTTTTAAGTATCTGTTTGTGGATAAAGCATAAAAGAGACATCAGTCTCTTACAGGCGTTTGGATAATCTCAACCATCTTGGCCAAGTTGCTGTTTGTGTAACATTCCATTCTGTAGAGGTTTCCCTTTGCATTTTTGGTCGGGCACAGCACACACTTTCGGTCTAGACACCAGCATGGATTACCCACCAAACACAGAGGAACAGCACCAGGTGGCATCCCGTTCCGTTCACTTCAGCCAACATCCTTAAACACTATTACGGGAAAGAGACTCGACAGAAAACTATCAAACACCAGCCACAGCCCGTACAGTCTGGCAAAACAGATACATAAGGAACAAGTTCTGTGCATGCAAGACACGCAGGAGTCTTTTGAAAGTATATACGCAGTGGCCCGGAGGGTGAGGTAAGACTTCACAAAAAACAGCTGGCACCTGAACAGCCAGGGTTTTGAAAGACGACTAGGCCTAGGACAGTCAAACACGGGATCAAAGGGCATTCCAGATTGTGCACAACACTGACGGAAACATAACAGACTGCAAACTGCTGGAGGAACTCATTCCCCATCAGTGAAGGAAAGCTGGTCTGTTGCACTCTGAAGCTTTCCAAGAAAAAAAACAAGCTTTCAAATAAGGAGCTGAGGAGGAAAGTTTTACCACTGCTTGTTTTGTTAAACCTCTTAGCCTTGCTTTGCTTTGTTTTGCTCTGTTTTGTTCCCTCTTAGAAGAAATAAAGTACTGTGCTGGCATAAAACTTCAGTGAGGAAAAGCACTTCAACTTTACTGCCGAGTAAGAAAACTTTAAGTGGGCAAGGGCCCAGGAATGAGTAAGTGAATGAATGAATAAGTGAATGAATGAAAACATAAATAAAACTTTTCTAGAATATGTAAATGGGGCAAAATTAAAAATTCAGTCATCATGGACCTGAAATATTCATTCCAACCCCTCACCAACTCAATAGGTACTTATGGTATTTGGTGCCCATTATTTGTTAGTTTCCGGAAGACCAGGCCCAGGAGGCCCTCTCAAATGCCCTCCTTTTTGAGCGAGCTCTTGCTTGCAATTTAGTAAAAGAAAGCAGCAGAGGACAATTCATTGTAGCCGGTTCCCTCCACTACAGCCTGAAGCTCATGCAGAGTTAAATTCCAGTTAAGTTAGCCAGTGAGGTCAACACACTTAAATAATATTACAAGGACAAACAACTGTGAGATGTGAGAAACCTGTCTGACAGAGGTCCTTGATAAGGGTGTCTCATCACCTCTTCCTGTGAGCCGGGAGCGGGCGAGCTCGACTGCCTGGCCAGGGATTTGAAATGCTGATTGGGGAACAGAAGGGGGAAAGTTACCTGGGAGCTCAGGTAGACTTTGAGGCACTCCTCGCACACGGCCTTCTTGCAGCAGGGCAAAGGCTTGATGGGCTTGTCTTCCAGGCACACCCGGCACATCAGCACCATGAGGGGCACGTAGGGATCCCCTACCCCACCCAGGTCAGAGTAGGGTGGAGCTCCCAACAGGCTGGGCACGGAGAACGGCTCGGGCGCCAGGTAGAACTCCAGCTCGATGCTGCCGCCGTCGGGGGACAGTGGGTCTGTTGGGAGGGACAGCCGGGGGCTGGGGAAGGAGGAGGGGGTGCTGGGAGCGTTCGTCACCGGTGGAGCCCGAGGTGAAGACGCGGGCGGCGAGAGCTGCTCTGCGGTGGGGGCTTCGGGCAGGTCATTCTCCACGCAGAACACCGAGCAAAAAACTTGTCTCTTGGCGGGGATTGGGCGCCGCTGCCCCAGCACGTCCAGGACCAGTTCGTCCGCGGCCCCGACGCGGGTCCTGGGCTCCGGCTCCTCGCCTGGGGGCGCGTCCTGCTGTTCATCCCCTCCCTCGTTTCGGTCCCCAGCTTCCTCCTCCTCTTCCAGCTGCTGTTGCAAAGTCTGGGGGTTGAGGGGCCCGGTAAGTGCCAGTCCCGCGGGCTGCCCGGGCGCTCGGCTCCTCCTCCCGTCCGGGCCCCACCGGCTCCTCTCGGGCTCCGGGGCACTCGTGTCCGCGCAGCCCGAGTCGCTTCCGCAGCCACCGCCGCTCGGCTCCGCGGAGGCGGCGCGCGGCCCGGGCTCCCCGGCGCTGTCCCCCCGCGGCCTCGGGGGCTCGGGGTGGCCCGTGGCGCCGCCAGCGGGGGCCCGCGCCTCCTGGGGCCCGCCGCCGCTCACCGTGCTCTGCTCCTCGCCCATCGCCACCCGCGGCCCGCGCCGCCGCTGCCCATCCAGCCGCCGGGACCCCCACCCGGCGCCGGCGGGCAGCGGGGGCAGCGGCTCGGCTCGACTCGCGGCTCCGCTTCTGCTTCCGGGTCCCTCCTCCGGGGCTGGGACTCCCCGAGCTCGCTCCGGGGAGCCCGTGCTCCCGGGCCGCCGCAGGCGGGGAGCCCGGCCCGGTCCGCCGCTCCTCCTCCTCGTTCTCCGGCGCAGCCGGGGACCGCCTCGGGGGCGCCGAGGGCCGCTTGCTCCGGGCGCGGGCGCGCCCGCCCCTCATGCAGGTTGGGGCGGTGCCGGGGCCCCCGCGAGCCCCCGGGCGGGGCAGAGGGTCCGGGGAGGGGAGGCGGCCGTCAGTCCCGCGCCATCGCCGGTCCCGGCTGCGGGCCGCGCGGGACAGGCGGCCGGAGGGCGCTGGTCCAAGGGTCCAGGGGCCTGTGGCGCCGCCGCGGCGCGCACCGGGAGGTGCAGCCGGAGTGCGAGCGAGCCACTGCGGCCCCTGGGGGAGAGGCCGGAGCGGGCGACCTCCCTCTGCTCCCGCTTCACCTAGAGCCCTCCTCGCTGCCCCTCACCCCACCCCCTTGGCGCACACCTCCCCACACGTACACACGCGCGCAGGCACCCGCGCACTCACTCACACGCACACCCGAGTGGGTGTGATCTAAGAGCAGAGATGCGCTCTCGCGCCCAGAGTTCACACTCGGCCTCAGCAAAACCCTTCAGAGCAGGCAGGCTGCCCTCCAGGCTACGCACGAAGTAAACTTCTACAAAATCACTGTATACTCAGAGCAGAAACCAGAAAACACTGGCCACTTAGGATTTGGGTTTCTCTTGGATCCATCGAATTTTAAATCCTCCAAAGAGGGAGTTAAGAGAAATAACTCCAGGAATTATTCGTTAAAAATGCTGGATATACTAATTCTGTTTTCTGCCTATTGGAGTAGGAAGGATCTTTGGAACCCACAAATAAGCCAAAAGTACTTTTAACCTACTCCTCCAACTGGAATCCTTTTGAGAGCTGACAAATATAACTAATTTAAGATTTATCCCTTTTTCCTCCTCTTCATTGTTTTCTTAGGAACTTTTTTTTAACCCTTTAAATATGACAAAATAGATAACACGAGGTAGTAGGATGGCCTGGCCTAATTAATAAACCAGATCATTGGTGGGAATCATGAGGAGTTAGTTACATTAGCATAACCGTATTTATCCCCCAAACTGTTTCCAAGACAACAATTACATTTGAGCCAGAATTTAATTATGTGTTGATCTATCTTTATTTTACAGGAAGTATTAGTCACCCAGACTGGTGTGTTTTAGTTCCCTAAAGCCAATGAAAACATTTTGGGGAAGCCAACCCTTGTTTTTGCATCTTGAAAGGGAATTCGATTTACACGTTCATATAATAGGAAGGAGTTGTGAAGTGTGTAGCATTTTTTATCTTGAAGTTGTTATTGGTTTGTTCGAAAATATTTTCCAAATCAGTTACAAATGTTAGAAAGGCAACTAACTATGCAATACTAAGAAAGCAGTGCAACATCCAAGCACATTTCTATCCTTTGTGTCGGACGCTCAGTTGCACCCTAGAGGGATGAAACCAATCAATTAAATCAATTGAAATGTCACCTCATTTATCAATCTGCCCCAAGAACGAAGAATTCTTATTTGGAAGAATACATGCTATTCAAGGATTTTTTTTTTTTCCATTTTGGCTAATTAGTTTCCTGTTAACTGCTACTTTCTCCAAATGATACCTCTAGTGTTTGTTCTAAAGACAGGGACAAGAAACCTACATGTATTGTGCCTTTTGTGTATGCCATCTGATAACTATTCCTCTATTCTTTCAACAGAGATATGAAAGTAATCTGTGTTTTCTAGGTGACAACAGGTTAAATGTAAGACCACAGTAACAATAATGAATAGAAAAAAGTATAACTCCTCAGTGTCTATAGGAATCAAATACCTTAAGGTACTCACATAGTTTTGGGACCCTCAGACCCACACATATTTGTCATAGGTGTTCCAAGAACTTGTTCTTAAGGTGCCCACCACCTTGCTCCTTATCCCTCAGGCTTCCCTTCACTGGCGTCGGCTTTCCTTGCCCCTGCACCAGCTAGAAATCCTGAAGGCTCCCCAAAACTCTCAGCCCTTCTCCTTGCCATGATTTCACTTCTATGGGATTCATCCATCTTTGTGAAGAGAGAACCATGGCACGTCATATCTTCACCCTCCAGACAGACTCAGACTTGCCTAAGTGCTGGGCTCAGCCTTGCTGGTGTTTAATCTGGGACACTGGCAGCATGAAAATGAGTTAAAATGCAAAGTTAAAATTCCGGTCAGACCATCAATTTCCCCTGAAATGAAATGCATGAAGCACCTATAATGACTGTCATGACAGGATTCACTTTTTAAAAAGGATTGGTTGAAAACATACTTACCATAGCATAAATTTCACTTACCTACCACAAGCTTCATATTCTCAAAATTCAGACCATCTGCTCCACATCAGGCTGTGTACAGTTGTTAGTACAACATAAGCATTATCTGCCACTACCAGTTTGAACTCTCAATATTTTCAAATCTGCAATGAGCTGTGCACCTTCCCTAAAACCAAGACTAACATTAGGAGAGAATGTCAAGTTTGAGAATTGACGTAGTCAGTTGCTTTAGATCGCTATTAAACACTTTTTTCTATTACTCCTTTTTTTATCCTGGCTTTTAAATATGACTTATTTTTGGTGCCCTTGAAGATTTTTTTCGGACATTAATTTGAAAATTAAAAAGCCTAAATTTATTAACTTATTAGAAAAATGTTAGGTATCAGAAAAGCTGTGAATCATTTTAATTTTACACATTAAAGGTAAAGCTAATTTCTTTTTGCCTGTTGTGGAGAAGAAATGCATAACCATAAAAGAATTATACAGCAAATAAATGACTTGTTTTTTCTGCCAGTCTCTCAACTATCCAAAACAGGCAAAAAGAAATAGAAATTATTTAATTTTTAAAAGAAATTCATTTCCCAGAGCCTGGGTGGCTCAGTCGTTAAGCGTCTGCCTTCGGCTCAGGTCATGATCCCAGGGTCCTGGGATCGAGCCCCGCATCGGGCTCCCTGCTCGGCGGGAAGCCTGCTTCTCCCTCTCCCACTCCCCCTGCTTGTGTTCCTGCTCTCGTGCTCTCTGTCTCTCTAATAAATAAATAAAATCTTAAAAAAAAAAAAGTCATTTCCTGGGGCGCCTGGGTGGCACAGTCAGTGAAGCATCCAGCTCTTGGTTTTGGCTCAGATGGCGATCTCAGGGTCCTGAGATGGAACCCTCCTCCCCGCCGGGCACCATGCTCAGCACAGAGTCTGCTTAAGACTCTCTCTCCCGCTCCCTCTGCCCCTCGCCCCTGAGTGCTCTCTCTCTCTCTCAAATAAATAAATAAATCTTTTTTAAAAAAATTCATTTCCTGAAGAAGAATGAACAGGATGGAATGGTCTTCTAGGTCTGCTTTTGAAAGACACAGTGGAACATTGGTCCTCACTTTCTTCTCTCCTCTTCACCCATGGAGGCTGGAACATTAAGGGAAAGGACATCAAGAAGAAAAGAAAGAGACACAATTGTTTCCCTTTCTTTTTCCACCCTAAGTTCCCTAAATCCAAATAGTAGGCTTTTATAAGATAAAGTTAAAAATAAAACAAAACGGTGTATTCCTTCAACTTATAAAATAAAAGCCTAAATGCTTGGAATACAGAGGAAACCAAGAATAAAAAGGACAAAGAGCGGGCGCCTGGGTGGCTCAGTCGGTTGAGCGACGGCCTTCGGCTTGGGTCATGATCCTGGAGTCCCGGAATCGAGTCCCGCATCGGGCTCCCTGCTCCGCGGGGAGTCGGCTTCTCCCTCTGACCCTCTTCCCTCTCATGGTCTCTATCTCTCATTCTCTCTCTCTCAAATAAATAAATAAAATCTTAAAAAAAAAAAGGACAAAGAGGGAGGGAAAGGGGGGAAGGGAGGAAAAGAGAAAGAAAGGAAGAAAAAAGGAAGGAGAAAGGAAGGGAAGGCAGGCAGGAAGAAATGAGGGGACGAACTTTAGCTATTAGTATCCAAAATAACCACTTACACTACTTTATCGGACTGAGATATTTCATTCTGGTGTTTGTATCTGTGTGTCTAAAAATATATTAAATGATAAATTCTCTTTTCCTGCTTTTTTTACTTAGTAATATATTCTGAATATTTCCTTTCTTTTTTTTAAAAAAAGATTTATTTATTTGTCAGAGAGAGAGAGAGAACACAAGGAGGGAGAAGGGCAGGCAGAGAGAGAAGCAGGCTCCCTACTGAGCAAGGAGCCTGATGGGGGGCTCGAGCCCAGGACCCTGGGATCATGACCTAAGCTGAAGGCAGACACTTAACCGACTGAGCTACCCAGGCGCCCCTGAATATTTTCCATATAATTAAAACATATGTCCATCATCATGATTTGTGACCGTATAGAATTTTACTACATACATGCATCATAATGTATTTAATCAATTCTATTTTATTTTTAAAATTAGATTATTTATGACTTTAAGATAAATAACACTCAGGGGTGCCTGGGTGGTTCAGACGGTTAAGCACCCAACTCTTGATTTCAGCTCAGGTCATGATCTCAGGGTCCTGGGACAGAGCCCTGTGTCAGTCAGGCTCACCACTTGGCGGGGAGTCTGCTTCTCTCCCTCTCCCTCTTCCTCTGTCCCTCCCCCTTGGTCAAAAGCTCTCTCTCTCTCTCTCAAATAAACAAATAAATCTTAAAAATTTTTTAAAAAGATATATAACACTTAATATATGTTAATATTTCTTATTTATATTAACATATAACCTTTGTTACATTCCTAATATACGATAGCATAAAGTCCTAAAAATTAAATTGCTGCAGAAAAGGGTAGGTGCACTTTTGGGGCTCTTGGTGCATATTATCACAGAAACTTAACACCAATTTATAGTCCCATTAATAGTGAGGCTTTGAGAGAATCTACTCTCCTAACCATTCTAAGGAGATTTTTTAAAATTCAAAATGCTGTAAATAACATCTCACTCTTTAATTAATGAGTACATTCTTATAAATAAAAATGGGTGAGATCAAATATTAACTGTTGATTCCCCTTTGGATATTTACAATTTAGCACTACATCAATATAATTCTCTATTCCTGAAGTTATGGTTCTGACAGCTTCCTTTCCTCATCTTATTTTTTAATTTCCTCTTTGCCTCTTCCAGTGACAACAGTGGTTTAAAACTGTTCAGAGATAAACTCAGTCATAATTAATACCTCTAAATCCATAATACCAGTCCCTCATTTCTAAAACACAGATTCATTTATTTGAGTGCACAGACTCATTCCCAAGGAAATCCCGTCTCTCAACCCACACCGTGGAAGCTCTTTAAGTTAAGATAAAAAGAGGTCCACTAACAGTGTAAAGTTGACCCTTTTTGGACGGAGAACCAGTTCCCTCCTCAGTGAAGGAGACACCAAGACCTTGCGGTTTAAAGGCAACTCAAAACTTTCCACTACTATGGCTTTGGTTTACCAGAAAGATGTCAGCCCATACTCTGCATATAGAAATCCCCAATCTCCTCTTCCCAAGGCACATAGTGACATGAATAGAGAGGCACGTTCTCTCTGTTTGCCAGCTTCTCTTTCTAAAAAGGGTGTCGAGTCACAGCCTTCCCCCGACAGGCTTTGTTTATAACAGAAGTCAGAAAAATTTACAGCCTGGCTCCTCCCTGGCCCTGAGACTGGAATGCTTCATTGGTTCAGTAAGCAAGAGCAAGATAAATCTCTTTCTTCCAGTACCATCGTTGCTAGGTAATTCACAGTGAAGGAAATAATTTTGTTCAAATTAAAGGACAATCAAGCATCAAAGTAACAGAGCCAAAGATGCACTTGTAAAAGCAATAGTTCTGAAGAGTAGAGATTTTCTTAGCAAGAGGAAATCTCTTCCAAATTAGGGAAGAAGTAAAACGTAATTCAGAGAAGATTTGTTTAAAACAATGGAAAGTGTTCACAAAACTATGTTAAGTGAAAAAAGGCAAGACAAATGTAATGTGTGATATGATTACAACTATGTAGGCATGCGTATTATAAAATAAGGACAAAAATAACAGAAGTTATTGAGTTATTGTATAAGGTTGATGTTGTTATAATTCTCCTTTCTAAAATTTCCAAAATACTGTTGCTTTTAGATTGGACAAGAGAGAAAAAGAAGATTTTTTTTCTTTTTTTAAGAATGAAATAGTTTCATCCTAATGAACAGAGAAATAGGCTTGGTGTTAATAGGTGTTATTTGCATGTACACTTGCGACAGTTAAGGTAAGCAAATTTTCCTATTTGTGTTATAATTCAATTTAAGAAACATTTTCTGAATGTCTGTTAGATCCTACGTCAAGTTCTGGAAAATTCAATTTACTAATTTGTTCAATAGAAAAAATAATCCTTTCCCCAAATATTCCTTTATTATTAACTTTAAAACATTTGTGAAACACTTTAAACTGTCCAGAGCATATCTTGCCTGTATATGGAAACCCAGTTTTTAGCATTCGACACATATTTACTTTTCAACAAAACATTTTTAAAGGACAGAAACAATGACAAAATAGTCTTCTATAGTGACTTAAGCATTATATGGAACTATGGTTCTGAAATTATGTGCCAAGTTGCCCTAAGGCACAGCAGCAACCTCCTAGGGGCACCGTGGAATATTTAAAATTCTTGGGGCACCTAGCTGGCTCAGTTGGTGGAGCATGTGACTCTTGATCCCAGGGTCATGAGTTTGAACCCCACATTGGGGGTAGAGATTACTTAAAAAAAAAATAAAGTAAGGGGCGCCTGGGTGGCTCAGTCATTAAGCGTCTGCCTTCGGCTCAGGTCATGATCCCAGGGTCCTGGGATCGAGCCCCGCATCGGGCTCCCTGCTCCACGGGAAGCCTGCTTCTCCCTCTCCCATTCCCCCCTGCTTGTGTTCCCTCTCTCGCTGTGTCTCTCTCTGTTAAATAAATAAATAAAATCTTTTAAATAAATAAATAAAGTAAAATAAAATTCTTCAGGGAATCACAGTATCGCCTCTTGGATACCATGCAAATTACTACTGTTAATTTGTTTGGACCTCGTTACTACTAGGGATTTCTTTTTGCCTAAAAAGCAGCATGAAAAATAACTGAGACACCCTGGTGCCATAAGCTGAGAAAGCTTGGAAGCTCAGATTGAAAACTTTAGGCACAGAGCAGAAAACAGCAGGATAAGCACCTTAAGCTCTTAGAAACTTAAACATTAAATTTACAAGAGACATTTATGTAGTAAAGGATTAAGCTTGCCTAAAGAAAAGTCCTTGCCCTCAGCTCCTAGGAGTGACCTTCCTGTGCTGCCTGCAGGAAATGAGTCTGTTTACCTGGAGTCCTTAGGTCATGCCACATAGTCTACGTGAACCGTGTTATTTATGGTGGAGGTCTTGGGTCATGTAATATCAATTTGACCTCTGGAGGGACTGGGAACTAAGGTTAATCACATGGGTGGTTAGCCATGTGTACATCGCTGACTTCCAATAAAAACCCTGGACACCAAGGCTTGGTGAGCTTTCGTGGTTGGCAGTATTCCATTTATGTCGTCACACATGGTTGCTGGGAGAAATAAGCACCATTCACACAATTCCCCTGGTAGGGGACAGCTGGTGGCTTCATGCCTGGTCTCTCCTGAAGTGTGATGGTATAGGTTTGCCTGTTGCTGATTATAATCTGTGTCCTTTTGCTCTAATAAACCTTTACTTTGAGTAGACATGTTTGCTGGGTTTTGAAAGTCCTTCTAGAGAATCAGTGAAACTGAAGATGGTCTTGAGAACTTCCTGAACTACGCCGCTACAAAAATGGAAGTTCAGGGCGCCTGGGTGGCTCAGTTGGTTAAGCAACTGCCTTCGGCTCAGGTCATGATCCTGGAGTCCCAGGATCGAGTCCCGCATCTGGCTCCCCGCTCAGCGGGGAGTCTGCTTCTCCCTCTGACCCTCCCCCCTCATGCTCTCTCTCTCTCTCTCTTATTCTCTCTCTCAAATAAATAAATAAAATCTTAAAAAAAAAATGGAAGTTCATTAACTTTTATAGGTTCTCACTTTCCTTGTTTTCTCAAGGAGAAAGATGTCATTGAGCAGGTATAGTATCAATTAATGCAAGAATAAGACAAGTTTAATTTAAAAAAAGAGAATTGGGGGTACCTGGGTGGCTCAGTTGGTTAAGCACCTGGCTTCAGCTCAGGTCATGATCTTGGGGTCCTGGGATTGAGCCCCATGTCCAGCTCTGTGCTCCATGGGGAGTCTGCTTCTCCGCCTTCTTTTGTCCCTTTCCCTTCTCCCCTCTCCTCACTCATGCTGTCTATCTCTCTCTCAAATAAGTAAATAAAATCTTTAATAAATAAAAGATTTATAAAAAAAGAGAAATGTATTACCTTCTTGTCACACAAGAAAGGTGATTTCCTTAGATAATGGAGAATGAGCCCCTTTGATTTGCAAGCTAGTTGAAATTGGCTTTGACATTTTGCTTGCAAAATCTAGCAAAGGATTAAATTATTCTGAAACTTTTTAAGCTGACAGCTTAAGCCATTCAGTTATATTTACTTTTAAATTATGGAAAATAATTATCTATTTATTTCTTAACACACTTGCTACCAGGTTGGAATGGGAGAATCCAGCTGCCTTTGGGGGCTGCTAAATACCACAAGCTGTTTCTCAAACATTGTGGAATCAATAAAGCTCAAAATATTTTCTCAAATACTTTAAAAAAAATTTCTCAATATGCAAGTATCTTAAAAAGCTTTTTATTCACATGTTGCCAACTCATTTACATTTTTTCTTTATAAGACTTTGGAATTGTTATTATGAGCTTTATGAGAATGATTTTATTTCCATAAAATCCATAGTTATATAATGGGAATGCTCCAGACTGAGAAAAGTTATATTTGTTTCCTAGTCCTATTTTGCCCTTAACTGTCTATTTCTAGGCCTCAGTTTTTACTTTTGTGAAATGGGCAGATCGAACTGGATGACTCTAAATTTCATTCCAATACTAAAGTTATCATTTTCAATTTAACCAATAGATATTAATCCCTACGTTGTGCACATTGTTGTGAAATAGCTAGGCAAACAGTTATAAATGATGAATATAACTCAATCCATGCCCTGAGGAATCTCTCAATGAAAGAGAGAAGACAGATGTCTGACTACAATATCAGGCAGATTTTGGTAGGTGTGATTGTAGAACTGTAAATTCAGGAGTATTGGGGCTGCAATGCGCGGAGTTTCTGCCTTGGTGGATCACAAAATGTTTCATGGAGGGCCTGGAAGATGAGTTATATTTTTACAGATGGAGAAGGTGGTAAGGATAGTAAATGTTTCAGTAGAAGGAACTATATGAGCAAGCACATGATGACAGAACACATGAGGGTACCCTGAGGGGCAACTGGTGGTCCTGGTGTCTGATCCTACGAGGCATGTAGAAACAGGACAGGAGATAAGGCAGGAAAGATAAGCTGTCCCAAAATTGTTGGAGTGTTTCTTTTTCTGGCTCCCCATCTGCCAGGTCCCTGTAGGTTTGTACCCCTCTATGGAACGTCATAGGTGCTATCATCTCTGGGTTCTGAGAGTTTCTCCCTTAAGACCAAAGGGAGGTGTATTAGTTTCATAGGGCTAGTGTAACAAAATGCTGCAAACTTGGTGGCTTAAAATTTATTGCCCTAAGTTCTGGAGGCTAGAAGTCTGAAATCAAGGTGTCAGCAGGGCTGTGCTCCCCCTGAAAGCTGTAGGGGAGACTCCTTCCTGGCCTCTTCTAGCTTTGTGTATTTACAAGCAATCCCTGACATTCCTTGGCTTGTAGAAGCACCACTTCAATCTTTGTGTCTGTTGTCACACGGCCCATCTTCTCCCTGTGTCTCTCTCTAGGTCTATTCTCTTCCTAGAGGGACATCAGTCATAATGGATTATGGGCCTCTCCCACTCCAGGATGACCTTATATTAACTAATTACTTTTACAATGATCCTATTTCCAAACACAGCATTCCCAATACTGGGGGTTGGGACCTCACGTGTCTGTTTGGGGGACATAATTCAACTAATATTGAGATGTAAGGCTCTCCACAGCTGCTAATCCCAGGGTGCTGTGCTATCTCTTATGCAAGTCCTAACCTCTGTCCACACCTTTGTAATTGGTTCCATTACTAAGCCCTCCTCATGTTACCCAGTTTGTGCCATCTGTTTTCTTTAGAGATTCTGATTATGTAGATTACAGTGTCTCGACAATGATTTGATTAGGTATTGTGTTTTGTTTTAGATAGTGGGATATATTTAATAGGAGAGTAATGATCAGTTCTCGGTTTAAGAAAACTAGATAAAGTGGCAAAGTAGAATACGCATTAGAGGAAAGAGACACAGGAGGCGAGCCTATTGTTACACCATCATGTTGAGATATGATGAGGTCTGAAGTGGGAAGGAACACCAGTGGCTTCCTATATTCCAGAGTAAAATCCAAAGTCTTCCTTAAGGCCATTCATATGGTTCCCCCTTTTCTCCCACTACCCCTGCCCCCCATCATCCCCTCACTCACTACACAGACTCTCACTGGCCCTTTGCTCTTCCTCAAATGTCGCAATCACACGCTTACCCCATGACTTTGATTCACGTTCCTTCTGCTGGGGATGTTCTTGCTCCTTGTCATATGCATGGTCCCCTCTCACTTTCTTCTGGTCTCTGCTCAAAATGTTCCTTTGTCATTGAGGCCTTCCTCAACCAACCTCAAAAAAATATCACCACCTTCATATACTTCATCCCCAGTCATCTCTAGCTCTTTACTCTCTTTTGTTTTCCTCATACTACTCATCAAGTGACACAATATATGTTTATTTCTTTATTTCTTAATTGTCTCCCCGCTTTCTTAGATTTTAAGTTCCACAGAAAGAGAGTATTTTTTTTTTTTTCTGTCTGTCTGCTATTCGGCCCTCAGTGGAGAGAACTGTGCCTGGCACATAGTAGGTGCTCATCACTTATTAAATGATAGTCACCATTAGAGATAGAATCTGTGGGGATATGGCAATAGATATAATGTGGTGAAAGGGGACAAAAAAGAATTAAATATGGCTCCAGGTGTTTTTTATTTTGTTTTTTTTCCCCCTGATTTCCTACGGGTAATTTTATACCTTCTAAAATAGGAAGATTTGCTAGCCTAATTTAGTTATTTTTGCATTTTACATTTCAAAGAAAAAGTTAATCTTTCATATTCAATGTCATTTTAAAAGTCCTAATGTTAGTCATAGAGATCAGCAATTCCTATGAGAAACGTGAATAGGTTGTGACTCAAATACGTTTTTAAGATGGTGTTTCTCTGACTTGTATTCTGTTATTCTATCAGCTGATTCTATTGACACTATTCTGTCTGGGGTTGTGGCTGGGAATTCTAGTGCTTTTTTTCCTCTTTCCCTTAACTTATGATGCCTATGCCTCATCAGTTGACTCAGTGCTTCCTTTTATACATCAAATAGTTAAGTTAGAGAATTAGTCAATGTGTTTAACATGATTTTCCAGCTTGTTCTGTGATGCATGATATTTGTTATTTAATTACTTGCTTCCAATTTTAGACATGACTAGGAGATAATGTGAAATCACAACTCAACAATGGTCGATGGCACAGGCTTTCCAATACCCAAGAAACCGTCCAGCGTCATGCTGGCACTTCTCAAAATGACGTCTGTGGATGAAATTCTACAGGCATATGGGGGCACAATCTGCTGACCTCTAGTTGTCAGAGTGAGTCATGGATTTGCAAAACCTCTCAGACCCTGTGCTTCAGAGAGGACTTATGTTATTATTTTAAGAATAGAATAATCCTTTTACATTCATATGGAAAATGAAGTAATAAAATTCGGATAATTTTTAATGTTACCAGTGATTAGTAACTGTCAATGAACTTGAATCAAACAAGACTTGACTCTTGGGAAAATACCTTCTTTGTTTCCCCCAGAAAATATGATCAGTAAAGTATCTGAAGTCTAGATATAATTGTTATTATTTATGTTCATTAAAATGCCGCAGAGAAGACTGAGAGTGTATGATCATTCGTTTTATTTACAATACTCACTTGAAAGACTATTCAATGGATGTTAAAAATAGGAACTTAGAAATTCAATAGTTTATTTAAAAATTATGTTTAAATTATTTTAAAAACTCAAATTATGGCACATTCCTTGCTAGGGAGGATTATGGCTATGGTTTCATGCCATTTTTCTCTAATTCCAAAGCAGCCAGATTAGTTTTGCTAAGATCAACTTTGGAAAAATATTACGAAGTAGACAGTCTGTGTGTTGATGTTTCCTCTATCTTGTCTTGCTCCATGGTATCATTGCTGGGACCTTCTGCTGGTACTTGGAAAACCGTATCACCCATATATTAATCTGGCTCAGAACTTTCCTCCATTATTCCCTCTATCAAAGCTTACTTTTCCTATATCCAATTCCCTTAGGTCTTTGTGCTGCCCTCCAAATAACAATGGGCAATTATTGTCATTAATAATAATACCACACATATCTGTAGTGTGAATTACAGTGTGTTTTCACGTGTATCTTGCCATATGATTCTTCAACATTATACAATAGAATGTCTAATACACAAAGTCAGCATTCTACAGCCCATCACTTGTTTTTTTAACAGCTCCCAAGCTAAGAATAGCTTTTACATTTTTTAAGAAGCTATTTTAAAAAAGGAAAGTATGAAAGAGAATGCAGCCCACAAAATCTAAAATGTTTAC